TTCTGAAGGTAATAAAACAAAAAGTACAAAATTTGATGGAAAACTGACGAAATTATGCTCTCGCATATTTTGATGTGTCGGTGATATTTACGCATCAGCGATTTTGCCGAATTTGACTCCCATTTTAGGCCAACTACATTATTCCAGTTGACCAAATTCTTAGCTATTTCACTAGTATTACTTCTATTCTATCGATTGAGCACAAGAAATCGCCAAGTCAACTGCTTCAACAACAAAATAAAGTGACCGGAAATTGGTAATTTGGCCAATTTAATGCAAAGTTCAAAATATTCCAATTTAAAAATAGGGTTCAAAATAAACAATGCAGGCATTCCTGGCACTAAACTAACATTTTCTCTGCTCATTAGTTGTGTTTTCAGGCTTTACAAATGAATTCCATTTTGATTTTTTATTCACATAATGAATTTTTATTCAAACCAAAAAATAGAAGATTTACTGTAATAATTGTATAAATAATATCAACACATTTGTGAATGTATATGAGACCCACCAGCTGTCATGTATTAGACGTGTAAGGTCATTTGTTTACTCTTGAACATCGGCAAATATTAACATTTCTCCTGCTTTGAGCTCAGTTTCAAGCCATTTCCAGTACTAAAACCAATCAAAATAATCTCTATTTCTGTAGTATATCTTCAACTCTATAAAATGAGACCAAGAAATTGCAAATACAACTATAAAAACATACGAAAAAACACTGCAAAATTGCTGTTTTAATCAAAAATTACGGTCTCAGTTTTTTTCTCTCATTATGCAGTGTGCTGCAGGATTTGTTTTATGTGGTGCACACATACCACATAGATGTATTCTCTCATATCTAGGCCCAAATTTATTGCTCACAGCTTATCAGAGTGAGCTGAGCTCATGGCGTAAATCTACAGTTTGGACCCTGAATGTAAAGCCGTAGATCTACGGCACGGACCCTGAAAGGGTTAATCACTTCAGTTACCTAATTTTTATATCAATATGCAATAACGTATATTAACCCTTTCAGGGTCCAAGGCCAAAATCTGAAGTTACGCACCAGTGTCCAAGAAATTTTGAAAAAAAAAAAAAATTATTTTTTCTTACAGAATTAAAGAGCATATTTTTGTGAAGGTAATAAAACAAAAAAAATAAGAATCTGATCAGTACTTACGGGATACAGTCCCAAGAAAGTTTATAGAAAATGATTTTGGTGGTGGAAACACGACGATTCCACATAGCGTATTATATTATTTTTGTTTTTTAGTTGTTTTTTTCTTTTTTTTCCAATTTTTTTCTTTTCCACTAACATTTGGGGCCTGAAACCAATACGTAAAAAAAATTTATATATAAATCACGATTGAACACAATAACCACAAAAATTATCAAATTATTGTTTCCCTGTTTTTTATTACAATAAACATGCAAAAAATATTGTATAATACTAATTTCAAATATATATTTACATTTTTACAATCACGGGGACATGGTTTTAAAAATGCTGGAGTTGTGAACTTTTAAAAACAAGGCACCATGCAAGAGGCCCCTTAAATTTTCTCACAATAAACCGATGTCTTTGCTCTTTGTTGCCGTCTTTTTGTTTGTGCACAGAAAAAGCATCTCTCGAGAAATTTCTTTTGAGTTGAAGGAAGCTTATTATAAAGACACCTTTCTCCTCAAACGTTTGGGTTTTAATCCAGAGGAATTTTTGGGACCATGTTGTTTTGCGGTGTTGTTCCTGGTACTTCTATATTTGTCTGAAAAACAAAAACAAAATTCACCTACATGGTCGTTACCAGTTTTTTTTTTGGGTACATATTAATGCTGAAAAATGTCCATGGATGGAAGAAAAGTTTCTGTACCACTTGTAACTCTTATGAACACATCAAAAAAAACCAATCTGCATGTCACACTTGTCAAACAAGGCATGTTTTGGTATAATCAATCAATGACAAAGGGGTTTTTAAAAGTTCATTTGTCCCCCAAACAACTTTGCCACAGTCTTGCATTTCATTACGGGGAGGGGTTGTCAACAATTGACATCTCGTTTTTCATGCCACCGTAATGCCATGATTCATTGGCAGTAAACACCTGCACTCTCACCACAAAACCTGCGTTGGGGCCCCGGGGATATGTTTATGATTGAACGCACTGTGCCCCAACATCTGTCTTGTTCCTCGCATGAAATCACTGGTAAAAGGGCTTTTGTCCCCTTATCAGTATATAATGTTTGGGCCCCCTTTCCAAGATAAGGGGGCCATCATGTTTTCATACGTCACCTGGATACCCAATAAAAATCTTGGTATCTTTCTGTTTTTTACCCCTTATACCCAAAAATCCACACCGGGCCCCTTCACAACACGAGTACAAACATTTTATCCCAAAACGGGTTCCTCTTGCCCCGGGAATATGCTTGAATGACATTTTACCTTTGAACAAAATCAAGACTCGTCAATTACAAGATTCTTGAATGATAAAAGTATATCCGAGCTTTTGTTTGAATAATGAAAACATTTCTAATTTTAAAAACCTGTCACTTCTGTCAGGCCCGGGTTTTTTTTAGAGAAGTGCAACTACTAACAGTAAGATAAACCTTTTACGGATTATTTTACTGAGACCCGGGGGGGGAAATTAGCCTCTGGGACCAGTAAAGCTTTTAATTTATGCTTAAGACAGGGCTAAGATTTTTGTTGCAAAAAAACAAAACATTTTTTGCAACAAATGTCTTTTCCCCTGTTATCTTTACGTGGGGATAAAAATCGTATTTTTCCTGGTGTACTGAAAATCTTATTTTTTTCCCTGGCAAAATTTCCCTCAATGGGTGGGCAAAGAATAAATTTAAAAAACCGTTCATTGGCTGTGGTTTCCCAAAGGGGGCGGGAGGGAAATTCCACTTTGGAGTCATCAAAGTGGTTTACTTGGGGAAAAATTGGGAAATTTTCTGCCAATCCCACATAGGTTTTCTTGGGGGGGATACTGGACATCAAGGGTGGGTTTTACGGGGTTTGGGTTTTGGGTTGGGCGGGGGGTGGCTGACGCTCCGCTTTGTCCTTTAATGACGATCAGAGCATGGGTCCCCCCGTGGCACGGTGATCCGCAAAGGGGGTGCCACTACCACCACCGCCCACTAACACCCTCCACTGATGCCTTTGGGTCCATCCATGCCAAGGTAGCCACTCTCCCACTATCACTACCTAAAAGGGGTGTAGGGGCACGGGATGTACTCCGGGATGTACTCCAATCCCCTGGGCACAGCATAGGGTACACTACCCGAGTGCATGCGCGGCGAACATACGGACGCTTCACTGGTGAATATGAAATTTCCCCACATCACTACTCGAATGATCATCGAGCGCAATAAAATCACAATCCACGTCAAATCATCGTCATTACTAAAGTCAGAGGCCTGGCCCGCGAAAATATTAGTTTTCTCTTACTTTAGGAACACCCCACCGTGAGTCACGAGTGCCCACACCAGAGGTAGAAGGTCGAGGATCGTTGGGGTTTTCTGCACTATTATCGATATCCTGGTCATTATTTTCGGTCACTAACTTATCAAAGCCGTAGAATTCATCTTCATTTCCACTTCCACAGTGTCAGAACTATCAGACAGGAAGAGGAGAGTCCCAATTTTTCCGGGAGTGAGAGCTGACTTGCGACGAGGCATGGTGAACAAGGGTGACTGAGCCGGTGTTCCCACAATGCTATGCAGGCGCGTAGATTTTTTGTTTACGGCGCACACCCACAGCGAGACCCATTCTCTCACATGTAGGCCTATGTGCCCCTTTCACGCTAAATTTGATTTGGGGCTAAAAAATTTTGGTGTAGATCTACGGTTTGGATCACTCACCGTAAAGCCGTAGATCTACGGGACGGACCCTGAAAGGGTTAAAATGTACTACTCCATAACCTGTGTCAATACAGAGTAAGAATTAGGATTAGTCTGCCCGAAATGCCTAGGCATGTTAGTGGCCTTTGTAATTATTTTTTATTATTATTTTATTATCACACTGGCCGATTCCCACCAAGGCAGGGTGGCCCACCAAGGCAGGGTGGCCACCAAGGCAGGGTGGCCCAAAAAAGAAAAACTTTCACCATCATTCACTCCATCACTGTCTTGCCAGAAGGGTGCTTTACACTACAGTTTTTAAACTGCAACATTAACACCCCTCCTTCAGAGTGCAGGCACTGTACTTCCCATCTCCAGGACTCAAGTCCGGCCTGCCGGTTTCCCTGAACCCCTTCATAAATGTTACTTTGCTCACACTCCAACAGCACGTCAAGTATTAAAAACCATTTGTCTCCATTCACTCCTATCAAACACGCTCACGCATGCCTGCTGGAAGTCCAAGCCCCTCGCACACAAAACCTCCTTTACCCCCTCTCTCCAACCTTTCCTAGGCCGACCCCTACCCCGCCTTCCTTCCACTACAGACTGATACACTCTTGAAGTCATTATGTTTCGCTCCATTCTCTCTACATGTCCGAACCACCTCAACAACCCTTCCTCAGCCCTCTGGACAACAGTTTTGGTAATCCCGCACCTCCTCCTAACTTCCAAACTACGAATTCTCTGCATCCCGCACCTCCTCCTAATTTCCAAACTACGAATTCTCTGCATTATATTCACACCACACATTGCCCTCAGACATGACATCTCCACTGCCTCCAGCCTTCTCCTCGCTGCAACATTCATCACCCATGCTTCACACCCATATAAGAGCGTTGGTAAAACTATACTCTCATATATTCCCCTCTTTGCCTCCAAGGACAAAGTTCTTTGTCTCCACAGACTCCTAAGTGCACCACTCACTCTTTTCCCCTCATCAATTCTATGATTCACCTCATCTTTCATAGACCCATCCGCTGACACGTCCACTCCCAAATATCTGAATACATTCACCTCCTCCATACTCTCTCCCTCCAATCTGATATTCAATCTTTCATCACCTAATCTTTTGCACACCCTTTGTAATTATTTTATAATAATTGTAAGCTTTGCAAGGAAATAAACATTTTCATTTTAAATTTTTATTTTCACGTTCTCCATGTCATGAAATGTTAACTTAAGTTGACCTCATCCATCTTGGTTTATTACAAGTTACAGTGGAGTAAATAAATTTAGATCTGCCTGAAGTAAAATTATACAATACTTTTGTTTTAAAAATAACAGAAAATATTTCCTTTACTAGTGTAAATATATTTTTAAAAAATTCTTCTGACAGTGTAAATGTGCTAAAACAGAGATTTCCTTTACCAGTGTAAATGTAGTAGTATTCAATCGCTGTAAAAATAATTTTACACTGTTCCTCTCATTTTCTAGATATGAGCATGGTGTGCTGCCACTTTGTATAAAAATGGATTTCGTTTCACTGTCACCTCATGACAACCAAGTGCTGACCTGTACTTGATGATCATTCCTTCATCCTGCTCGGCAGGCTCCAGGAACTGTTGAACGGGAATAAATTGGTCAACCTGTTCTGTAGTGAGGCGGAAGAACTGCAGCGCAACATTATTGTCGCCCCATAACAATTTTCTAAAGTCCACTGGCCAGTACTGCTGCAACGGGATGGTTAGAAATAGAGCAAAAGTGGAATCACCGTAAGATACACTCATGAACTGCTCCACCATATTCCTGTACCAATCGATAAGTGCACTATAGCCCTCAAACTTGCTGTTGGTGTCTAAATTTGCATAACCGCCATTGCGAAACACTTCAACCAAGCAACCCTGAAGGTACGAGTTAATGTTAGCATCAAGAAATATGTCATTGGCAGCCAAAAACACTAAAGACAAATGATACATCCAGCCAGTAAGTGTGGTGGTATGGATTGTGGTGTTTCTACGATGTTTAAGGGTAAGGTATGTCAACTGTAGACACCTTGTGACAGTCAAAATATCCTCTGGTGAAGACTGATCCCTCAATTGTTCTTGTTTTGTTTTATCTTGTGGCTGAGGAGGTTGTTGGGATATTTTGAAGACACACTTGATGGGATACAGTGGCCAGTACTGGTCAAGAACAAGTGGAAATTCAATCTGACTTATTGTGATGCTATTAATTATGAAAGGAATACCATTTTTTAATACTAAACTGGCATCATATTCTCTCCTACTCACCAAACTGTTAACAAGTTCACTTTCAATTGATTTTATAGAGTGGCAGATGCTATTAGTGAGCTGAAGGGGCGATAGAACTGGCTGGGCTATAGCAGGACTTTTGAGAGGCTCATAGTCTTGGAGAGCCAAGTCTCGTACACAGGTACTCATCTCTGCAAGGTCTGATGTGAACTCTGGTGCACAGATGATGCACGTTAGTAGTGTTTTAATTAAGTGTTCATCTCCCTTGTGGATGCATGGCATCATGAACAATGCTGTCTCATGGTACAATTTTCTTCTCCTACAACCCTTCAAAGCTGCCACCTGCAGTATATTGCAGATAAAATGAGTCTCAATTCGAGTAAGCCACTGTGATGACAATTGTTGGCTGGATTGACAAAGCTTCTCTAAATAGGTAGCTATTTCATCCGAGTCTAAAACAGCACACACTGACTGACTATCAAGGGCTGGGTGAAGAGTATGCAGAGACAATAGCAGGTTACTGAGTGGCAAAAGTAAGGGAAAAGGAGATGATGAAAGCCCAAGAGGAATTACTTTACCACCAAAGGTGACACAACCCAAGGAACCCAAATTGTTTGGGTCACGTTCTGTACCTGGTACCAAGTCACTGATGAGTGAAGAATGACTTGGAAGGACACTGATTAAATTTCTGAACATTGAAGAGTTTAACACTGTTGAAATAATGATGTTATAAAGATGTTTAATCCGAGTGTTGAAAACTTCACCAGAGTATGAAGTCTGATCTTTCCACTTAACATAGTAAGCTTCCAAGAAATCACAACAGCTACCAATGAGTCTAAGAGCCGAGAATGTGCTCTCAGAGATCCGAGCTAGTTCTGTTAACCATTTTGTGAGACAAGTCTCCACCAACTGAGGCAGATCTTGAAGGTCATTCCATGTCAGTTCTGGAGGCACCAGCACTTCTGCTTTGCCATCAGCACCTATTGTTGTGCCTTGATTTAACATCATTTTATTTTTAAGAAGGGAATGTGTGGCAGCAATATTGAGAGCACGCATCATAACAGCAATCATGTGAGCTCCTACATCATAGTTGAACTTGTTGGTGTCATTATAGTCACTGACTGACACTTTATCCCTGTAGAACACAAGCTTCCTAACCAGCATTGGGTAGAAGCTTATAAAGGCTTCTTGAGGTTTAGATAGTCCATAAGTCAGCAGCACACCCCACAGAGAATATGCCTCCTGGCTTAGGGCTAAGGCTTCCTTCAGCGGTATACTGATCTCACTCGGCTCAAGAGACACGTATACGAGAATGCGGCTAACCACGTCGTGAGTGTTGACCAAGATGGCTGCCAGCTGCCGACCCTTGGCTGCCATGATCTATGGAGAGAGAAGTGCTGATGAATTCAATGTTGCAGATCAAGTTGTATTAATTTTTATGAATAATTAAATCAGTCTTGTAAAAACTGTAGAGTACAACACATATAATACAGTGGAACCCCGAGTTTCGTCAGCATCGACTTTTGTGAAATCCGATTTTCAGCAAAATTTAGCCTCGCGGTTCGTGATTGGGCTCGTGATTCAGCGACCATCCAGTACCCGTCTGCCAGTCACCATGCACACAAAGCCAGTCTCCCGCACCATTCACACTCAGTGTGCCATCGTTTACCACCACGTGATCATCACCCCGCGGGTTCATACAATACATTTCATAATAATCCATTGTTTTTTGTGCTTGTAACTGCTAAATAAGTCACCATGGGCCCAAGGAAAGAAAGAAAGCGAGGAACACAATCGAATTCAAGAAGGAAATCATTGAAAAATATGAGAGCGGAGTGTGTGTTACAGAACTTGCCAGGCTGTATGGCAAACCCCATTCAACCATCACTTCAATCGTGGCGAAGGGAAAGGAAATAAAGTGTGCTGTTGTTGCAAAAGGGGTAGATATGCTGACAAAAAAGAGATTGCAAATCCTCGAAGAAGTGGAAAGGTTATTGTTGGTGTGGATTACCCAAAAACAGTTAGCAGGAGATAGTATTATGCAGTCGATAACATGTGAAAAGGCAAGGCAGTTGCATGACGATCTTGTAAAGAAAATGCCTGCAACAAGTGGTGATGCTTGTGATTTTAAGGCCAGCAAAGGTTGGTTTGAGAGATTTAAGAAACGTAGTGGCATTCAGTGTGATAAGGCATGGTGAGGCTGCCATTTCTGACAAAAAAGCAGCTGAGAAGTTTGTACAGGAGTTTAAGGAGTGCGTAGACACTGGAGAATTCAAACCCCAACAAGTGCTTAATTGTGACGAAACAGGCCTCTTTTGGAAGAAAATGCCAAAGAGGACCTACATCACGCAGGAGGAAACGGCACTCCCAGGACACAAGCCTATGAAGGATAGGCTTACTCTCATGTTTTGTAGTAATGCTAGTAGGGATTGCAAAGTGAAGCCTTTACTGGTGTATCACTCTGAAAATCCCAGAGTGTTCAAGAAAAACAGTGTTGCCAAGAGTAATTTGTGTGTGATGTTGGAAGGCTAACAATAAGGCATGGGTCACAAGGGGAATTTTCCTAGACTGGTTCAATGAAGTGTTTGGCCCCAGTGTGAAGAAATACCTCCTGGAAAATAAATTGCCATTCAAGTGCCTCCTGGTAATGGACAATGCTACTGCTCATCCTCCAGACTTGGAAGAGCAAATAGTGGAGGAGTTTAGTTTCATCACGGTGAAGTTCTTGCCCCCTAATACAACTCCTCTCATCCAGCCCATGGACCAGCAGGTCATTTCAAACTTCAAAAAACTGTACACCAAAGCAGTGTTTCAAAAGTGCTTTGAAGTGACCTCAGACACTGAATTGACCCTAAGAGAGTTCTGGAAAGATCACTTGCAAAAACCTTATAGGTAAGGCTTGGAAAGGAGTGACTTGCAGAACTTCAAATTCTGCTTGGAGAAAATTGTGGCCAGAATGTGTACAAGAGAGGGATTTTGAAGGGTTTGGGGCTGACCCTAAGGAGCCTATGCCAGTTGTGGAATCTATTGTGGCATTGGGGAAGTCCCTGGGGTTGGAAGTGAGTGGCGAGGATGTGGAAGAGTTGGTGGAGGACCACAGGGAAGAGCTAACCACTGAAGAGCTGCAACAGCAACAGGAAATTGCTGCAGAGCAGGAGGAAGAGAGATGGAAGAAGGTGCCTTTTTCAAAGATTAAGGACATTTGTGCAAAGTGGACTGAAGTGCAAACATTTATGGATGAACTTCACCCTAACAAAGCTGTTACAGGCCGTACTGGCAACATGTACAATGACAGTGTTGTGTCCCACTTCAGACAAATCTTAAAGAAACACCAGAAACAGAGCTCTCTGGACAGATATTTTGTGCGACAGGGGTCCAGCGACTCTCAAGTTGTTCCCAGCATCTTTAAAAAACAAAGAAGGGAAGTAACCCCAGATAAGGACTTGGTACCTGAATTCCTAATGGAGGGAGATTCTCCTTCCAAATAATATTGTACACCTTCCTCCTATCCCCTCCTCCCGTCTTCCATCCACCCAGAAGTCTTCAGTAAAGGTAAGTGTAATGTTGTTATTATTTTATATATGTATGTACTTGATTTCTCATTGTTTTCAGTATGTCAATCTTTATTTAATTTGAAAAAAAAAAAAAAAATTATTTTAATATTTTTGGGTGTCTGGAACGGATTAATTTTATTTCCATTATTTCTTATGGGGAAAAGGTTTCGCCATTTGGCAGACTCTCTGGAACGGATTAATCACGAAACTCGGAGGTCCACTGTAATGTTAACTGTTTATGTTAACTGTTAGGATAAAACATTTGCTAAGTAACAGAATGATATTTAAGTACTAGCTGACATCTGCCCAAAGTGATGTGAATAACTGTGGGGACTCTTAATCTGTAATATCTATGTACATTTATAAAAAATAAATTATTATTATTACAACAACATTTAACCACTACTACCTGGTTAATTTACAATCAGAATATCGGTGAACAATTTTAGTAAAATAAAACAAGAAATATTTTCCTAAAAGTTCACGACAAAACATAGATATAAACAGAGTTCTCTGTAACAGGAATTTTAATTTTATAATTAAAAAAAAAAATTGCTTCTAATCTGATTTGTTTCAATATCTTATAAAAATGATAATAAAATTGTCTTAGAGAAGCTTCTTTGCAAAATAGTGAAATCTAAGCATCTGTAACAATTTCAAAGTAATATTTTTAATCTAAGTTTATCATGAAAGTGAATCTTCGAAAGCTAACACAGAGTACAAAGAATTTGGCAGACCGAAAAAAAAAATGCAGTCATGGCCCCCAGGTCTTGGTCTTAGACCAGGACTAGAAAGGCAATATTACTGGAACAAGAACTATTGACAAATACAAAAGAAAGTTTATAATGAATGTAAGTAGAGGTTTGCGAGGTTCTGACCTGAGGGTAGGTGAGGATGGAAAGGAAGAGGGAGGGGAGGGCTGGAAAAATGGAAGAGGTTGGGAGGGTGGAGGAGGAGGAGGTGGGGTAGCAGAGGCGAGTGGCACGTCCACTCTGGAGCGTGATGTGCAGAGGTACTGCAGGAGGTTGTGCTGGAGCGAGATGTGCTGTTGGCAGCAGAGTCAGTAGAGTAGGGCTGGGTCTCCAGTGCCTGGCAGGAGATGGCTGGAATGGCAGTGGTGTCTAGAAAAACAGGGTCGTTTTGGAGCCACACCCCAGCTTTAGCTGAATAGCAAAGTGCTGGGGGACTTTGGATGCTGGTGGGTGATGATTTAGACTGTGCTGCTGTCAGGCTGTTTCTGACTGAGTTGAATTTTGCTCTTGTGAGGTGTAGTACCTTTATTTTGGAGTGGTGGATGTGGATTTTGTCGTTGAGGATGTCGAGTATGGATTGTAGGGTCGGAGGTCGAGTTCCATGAACTGTGTACTTTGCAGTGTTGTCTTGGAGTCGTCGGCTAAGTTCTGGAAAGGGCATAGCTCTACTGTATTGTTTCGTGGTGTAGAACGTGGTATAGTCAGTGTTTGAGGATCGGTGGGGTTGCTGGTGTGCTGGGCTGGGCGAACCGGGGTTTCTGATAGATCAGTAGCCATAGGGGTGGGGTCGGGTGTTGGTGGGTTCTTCTGAGGTCTCAGAGGTCTCTGGTTGGGCCGACTCAGTGTCGAGTGGGGGTTGAGGTGGTGGTGGAGCAACGACAATGTTGGTGACATTTGCAGTGGATATGAGGATGTCTGTGGAAGGTGGTGATGTGGGGAATGTGAAACCCGGCATGTTGTTGAGCTTGAAGAGTTCATTGATAGTGGTATTGAAGGAGCCAGGCTCAGCTGCATTCTGTACATGGGCATACATGATGCAGTAAAGGATTTTGGTGGAGTTGCCAGCTGGAGCTGGCAGGGGAGTGGTGGAGGTTTCTTGAGTGGCTTGTAGGATCTTGGTGGTGTCTGCTTGAAGCTTGGTGATAGTGGCATATGAGGTTGTTTGTGGGTTGGGCTTATTTTGTTCATGGAATTGTTTCTTGGCTATGTCTCTTCTGGTTGGACATCTGGCCGTGAGAGTATGGTGATCATTCTTACAGTTCAGGCATTTAGGTGGTGCAGCAGTGGTGCAGTTTTTGAAATCGTGACCCTCGAGGCCACAGGTGGGACAGAATTTTTTGTCCTTGGCAGTGCAGTCTTTGGTGGTATGCAGGTATGAGTAGCAGTTGTAGCAGTGTGGGATTTGTAGGAATTTTTCTTCTTCGATGAAGGTTCGGTTGATGTGGAAGTAGTGAATAGCCAGGCCCTCAGCGAGAGCTCTAAGTAGAGGTTTATAAGATCTTACATGTTTATGAAACATAACAAGGAGGTAATATTAATAAGCCGGCCAATGTATAAAATGTTTAAGACATGTTTCACACTCACAAGACTGGATGGTAATATTACCACCCAGGATGATTACTATCTACCAGCCTACTACTTAATAATAATAATAATAAGTTTATTTCTTTGTGAAGGTTACAATGTGTAATTACAATTTTGATTTGCTAAGTACAAAGATAGCCACTATCATGCTGAGACATTTCGGGCAAACTAATCCTAATGCATAGTAACTAATTAAAACTAGATAAGAGAATAGTACATAGTAATTATACTTAAAACTAAACATGGAAGTGGTTAGCTGTTTTACAATCTTATTTGGACTTAATAAATCTTATGTATACTTAGTACAAAATCTAATTTACAAGGAATGGTGCAGGTGGTAATATTTTATGGAATGGCAGAATTAAAAGCCAGGAGGTCACATGATAAAACTAGCCAGTAGATGTTTAGTTGATTTGGTTAATATTGTGAGATAAGATGACTTTTTAGCAGAGTCTTAAATTTATAAGCTGTCTGGGGATCCTTGACCTGT